ACGCTTGCAGTAATTTAACATCCTCACTATCCCCATTGTCCCAGGCACTCAGCTCTACTTGAGCTTAAAATCTATCACTCATGGAAAATTTATGGAGACTGAGGCTATTCTCACAGACCTGAGTTCAGAGCTCTCCTCAACACTGTCCTTGTGAGTCCACTAATTCCTCACTACACTCTCCCCTTCCTGTTCCCTTTCCATTGGATTGGGTGGGCATCATTCCAAGAAGAAATACAACCCATCCTTACTGAAGCTGACCTTTAGTCTTCTGATCCATGATAGGGCATTTGACAATGTGACATAAGTTCTGTATAGATAGAGAAGACATAATTCCTGTATTCTATTGAGTGCTAAATGTTTTACCCATTCATCATGAATCACTAAACCTTAAAACTAAAGAGAAGTCTGCTCTGGTAGCTGACCCAGCTCTCCACCTTGCTTACCTGAGGACTTGATTGATGCGGTCTCTGAGAAAGTAGATGCTCTTTAAGGAGAGGTATTGGAGACAGTTGAATCTGGAGAACTGAGAAATGAACTTGTTGATACACTTGTCTTCCATGTCTGTTGTCCTGTTGCCAATCTTGAAGACATTCTTGGAGAGGGGTGCCAGTAAGAGTTTGTGAAGATTTCTCATCTGGCCCAGGCAGGGAGCAAACCGTGCCAGCATAAGCACATTCCAATCTGTGTTCAGTTCAAATTCCCGGATGTGCTCTGGATGAAAAACCTTCAGGACCTCCTTGATAGCGTGGACAGGCTGAGCCCAGATGGTCCTCTCTGAACAGCAGAACTGGACAGAGTCCTTTCTCTGCTGGGCCCACTGCAAGAAGCATCTTTGTTCTTCCACTTCATGCGGCCTGAGGTAAAAGTCAGCTACCACCTTCAGGCACTGCCTCAATGCATATCTAGGAAGGACCTTCACTACTTGCTGCACATCTGGGGTCTCTGCTGAGCAACCACCATCCTCTGCACCAGCCCATGTGCTCTAGAATTCATGATGCTTCTCACTCAGCTAGAGAACCAGAAGTTTTCCCCTCCTGTGAGGAAAACATGTGAAGTGTCACCTACCTGGCAATACCCCACACTGACTCAGCATTTCCTCCACATCTCTAAACTCAGCTCTGAATCATGGCAAGGTGAGTGTTTTTTCAACAGCCAATGTCGAGTGGGCAAAATTGTTCCCTGAGCTGCACAGGTAGCCCTGACCATTTTCCTTCCTCTAAGTGACTCTTTATTTCTCCTTAGTCCCATTACTTGTGGATGTGGGAAAGCCAGGGCAGGTACATTCTACTGTGTGGCTACATTTACTGCAAGCTCTGAACACAGTCAGTCTTCCTTAGGACAAACAAAGAAAAGCTTCCAAAGGCCCTGCTTCCCTATCTGATGATCTATCGGAGGTATAATGAAGAAGCAATTCTCCCACAATCTCTTCCCTCTTATCCATGGGCTACATTCTACAGTGTTTCCTTATTGTATCCTGGGGTGAAACTTTCTTTGCAGCCGTGTTTCTACTCCTGCTAGAACTGCCTGGAAGGTTTCCAAGTCAGGAGTCTTCATCAATGCCCCCACAGGGAGACAGGGGAAAGGCCAGGCTGCCACCATTGCCTTCACAGTTGTAGTGTGTCTGCCAGTCATGGCCTCCTTGAACAGTGCTGGCAAGAGCTCCATGGGCAGTTTGTCCACAGTCGACATGTCCAAAGTCTCATTTCTCAGCAGAGCCTGCCATGCCAGCTTCAGGTGTGTGGGTGGAGTCTGAGCACTCATCCTGGTAGGTCTTCAGTCAGAAGGATCCTGGGGAGGCATTTAGGGGAGAATACATTCTCACCATCATGTTTAGAAAACCCCCTCATCAACACAGGAACCAGTCAAGGTCAGAGCTACTGCTCTGTCCTTGGTGGAGACATCAGTTTAAGCCATTGTGCTCTCTGGAGGTCTCAAACCAAACTCTCTCACTGACAGCACAAGGAGCCTCTTAAAAGTACACCCAGAGAACAC